ACTAGTAAATACAGTTCCGAGGTACTTGAACTTCTCCACCTGCTCCACTGCCTATCCGTTAATCTGAAGAAAACAACGAGCAGGAGAACGACAAAGCACCAGGCTTTACGTTTTAGATGCGTTCACACGCATGCCGCTCATGTCGCACTAGGATGCGAACCTTCGTAGGGAGCACTGAAGATCAGTTTCAGAAGATGCTCACAAAACAAGGTCGTCTGCAAACAGCAACCTTCTTCTCGTCATATCTACAAGGATACAATGATCACCTTGGCTGATCCTGGCTATTCAATCCATGTACAACACAAAGAGGAGAAAGCACAGGACGCAGCCTTGGGGGAGACCAGTGCCAAAGCTGAAAGGCTTCAACTTAACGCCAGTTACCATGAAGCAGCACCTGCTATCAGAATACAGTGACTGGATGGCCCTTAGCAGCTGGCCATCATTCCCGAATGCACAAAGGCATGTTCACACACTGTTGCGTGGGATCCGGTCATACGCTTTCTCTAGGTCCACAAAACACATGTACACCAGATGGGCGTACTCCCACGATTTCTCAACAATCTGGCGCACGGCAAATATATGGTCAGAGGTGCTTCGATCGGTCCGGAAGCCACAATGCTCTTCTTGGATCTTGAGGTCAACAATTCCACGGCACCTCCTTTCTAGCACTTTTCCGTAGACTTTACCAGGGAGGCTCAATTACGTGGTCTCCTAGCATTCCCTGTCACCTACCTTCTTGAATACGGGTACAATAACTCCGGTTCTCCAGTCCGTGGGTGTCTTCGCCGCAATCATCGCAGTTGGATAGACACGTGTAAGCCAGCACATGCCTTGTTCGCCTAATGCCTTGAGCATCTCAGGGCGGATTTCGTCAATTACAGCAGCCTTTCCAAGCTATTTCAAGCTTTTCACAGTTCGTGCAATTTCACCTACAGAGACAGTAATATCAGTTCACTGTTGCTTTAAAGGTAAGTCTTCCTCCGGCTGATAGGGGTTAAGGAGTTCCTCAAAGTACTCCTTCCATCGCCGAAGAATATTATCATCCTTGGTAAAAGGATGTTCAGATCTGTCCTTCAAGACTCTGAAACTGCCCTTCTTTTCACCTCGGAGCCGCCAGATGGTCTGACAGAATACATTGTTTGCCGTACGGAAATTCGACTCAAGCACCCCCCCCCAAACTTCTCACAGGAATCAGCATTGGCTTTCGCCACTGCTTTCGCTGGGACGATGCTGCCTCGACATATCGCACGCGAGTTG